TTTTCGGAGGCGGCTTCTGGTCAATTTAACGCAGCAGCATCCCCAAGAGCAGCTGGGGTGCTGCCGGGTTGGTCCCACAGCCCCGAGGGGCAGTGCTACGGGACCAACCTGGCAGCACCCCAGCTGTTCAGCCCTGGGCGTCCCCAATTCAGTCACTGCTGAAACTGACCAGCGGCTGACTGGACCCCACAGCCCAGCTGAGCCACATGCCTGCCTTCCTGGCTTCCTCCCCCTTATACATACACAGATCCACATCGTGCTGGACTCCTGCCCCCTGCGGGAAATATAATTAATTTAATCACTCTCCTATGCACAGTGTACCTGCAGGAATGTATGTTTACACTTACACAGTATAGTTGTGCAATGGAATACTGAGAAAGCTAAGAGCTCAAGTGTAAAGATAGCACTGTAATAAGCACCAGTAGAAAAGAGAGAGATTTATAGATAGGTGATCCACAGGGAGTATATGCATCTATCAATACAAGATGACTGCCCTACTTGAACAAAGATTTTTTTTACTGTTGTTAAACAAACAAGTCACTTGGGAAAAGTGGGGATAAGTGTAAATTTATTCCAGTAAAATCACACACCCATACACAACCCACACCTGTGCCATATACATCTATCAATGGAGATTCATGGGTGTTTGTTTAATGTGGAGCAGGGGTGGGCAAAAACCTCTCAGCGTGTTGGATCCATACTGCCTAGGGCTTTGATCCAACCCATGAGGCAGTTCCATAGCCTGCCCTCTAGCGCACGGGTCGGCAACCTACAGCACGCGTGGCGTGTGCCAATTTTCAGCAGCACGGGGGAGGGAGCTCAGCCCCGCCCCTTCTCCCCCACACGACCGCTGGAGAGCGCTCCCTCCTCCCTGCAGCAGGTTAGGCTGCGGTGGGAGGAGACAGCGCTGGGGCTGAGGCTCCTCAGCTGTGACCGGAGGCGCCATGGCCATGCTGCAAGGGAGCACAAAGCCAGGAAAGGTCCCCCCTCGTGGCCAGACCCCCATCTCAATCTCACTTCCCTCCCCCCCAAGACCCAGCACCCCAAGCTTGCTCCAACATACTCCCTTGTTCCTGCACCCTCTCTCCTGGCCAGACACCCCATCCTGCTCCTTCATCTATGTTGCTCCTTCACCCTCTCTCCTGGCCACTTACTGCACCCTTCCTTGTTCCTGCTCCCTCCACCTGGCCAGACATCCTACTCCCAGGCTGCTTCTGCACCCCGTCTCCCTCCCAGATCCTTCACCCCATCCCTATCCTACTAGCTGACAGCACTGTCTCACACTGTACCTCTCATTTTTGTCCCTACCCCAGAGCCTAAGGAGGTCCATAAAATCTAATAACTCTGGAGCTCCAGAAACGTAAATCTGGTCTATTTGAAGCCCTGACCCTCAGTTCCCCCAATTCCCTTCACCCTGTGAGGCTGTGGCACCAGAGGAGTGAAGTTTCTCCGTTGGGGCCACATCAGTGAGAGTTGGGATTTTAGGAGGAGTTTTTTTTGCTTCTCACTTGTGTGGTCCCCAATTGATTTTTCTGTGGGTCAGTGACCCCCGAACCAAAAAGGGTTCCTCACCGCTGCCATAAATAAAGAAAACATTAAAACCTTTTGTGTTGGACATAATATTTTACTTCATTTAAAATGAAGTTTGATAAACTAAGATGAGAAAGTTAAAGCATTTAATCTGTTTCATAATTTAAATTAAACCGTTCTCACTAGCTGCAGCTGGTTCAGATAATAAGGTCACTGTACCCAGACTACCCTTGCCTCCTTCCCTGGCACCCAGATCCGTGAATAAGTTCAATCTCAGTATGCCACTTCTGAAAGGTTGCTGACCCCTGCACTAAAAGGTAAGATCTGCATCTTAATTTATTTATTAACGAAGCTGCTGTAAGTAGGACTACTATTGACTTTAAAAAAGTATCACTGGCACTCAGACCCATACACAGAGGCGGATAAGTCGCATCTCGGCACTCCACCTCTGAAAGGTCGCTGAACCCTGCCCTAGCACATTGTCTGGGAGCCGGAGACCTGTGAGCTCTTTCAACTGCTTCTATTTAAAGGGCTCGTTGCCTGGCAGCCACCCGGCAGGTGGCAAGCCCTTTAAATAGAAGCAACTGAAAGGGCTCGCAGCTCTCAGTCCCAGTGGCCCATTGCCTGGGAGCTGTCCTGGAGGGGCGAGCCCTTTCAACTGCTTCTGTTCCACAGGGTTTGTGCCTGCCAGGCAACAGGCTAGCAGCAGGGCCAGGAGCTGCCAGTCTTGTTATGTGAATTCTAAGCCTCCTCCCCAGACAACTCAGAGAGGATTCTGGCCCCCAGCATCCTCCCATTTGCTCCAGGTCCCTTCCATTGGCCAGAAGTCAGGGGGCAGGGACACCAGGCCAAGCAAAGCTCTCAGCAGGATAGTTCTCACCCCACCCTTTCCACCCGAGGCCCCATCCCTTCTGGGTCAGCCCACAGCCCTTTCCGAAATTTGTGAAGTGGCCACCCTTCCAAAATTATTGCTTACCCCTGATGTAGAGCTATGTGATCTCTCCAGCTACTTTAACCAACTGGGACGGGAGCTGAGAGGGGAAATAAATCATCCCCACAGGTCAATAGCATGCCTTGCAAGAGAAAAACTGCAGGAGTAAAATACCAGAAGTTTCAGCCTGCAAATTATTGACATCACACTACAGGGATGAGGAAGGAGAGGTTTGTAGCAGCACAGGGCTCTGGTACTATCCAGGTTTCCTTTCCTACCCAAGCAGCACCACTCCATATAATCCACACCATCAACACTGCCTCATGTCACAGTGTCTCTGACATTCACCATACAGGGTTCGGTGGGGATAATACGACTTATGACAATTATTCACACCTAGGCATATCTTCTGGACTGCACAGAGCTCCACCTCGCAAGTTCATGCAGAAGTGTATTCCTAGGTTGTGAGGGATTAAGGGCAGACTACACTTAAAACACTGCAGCTACGCCCCTGGAACACTTCATTGAAGATAATGCCATCACAAGAGAAAAGTGTTTACTACGAGAGATGGTAATTATGTTGAAGAGAGAAACTCTCCCACTGATATAGTGCTGTCAACAATGGGGCTTATGGTAGGTATAATTGTGTCACTCAGGGGTGCGGGGTCATGCTGATATAAAATGTATAGTGTAGACCATCCCTGTGTCTCTCTTCTCCTTATGCATTTACCACCCTCTTTTTGACTATATTTACCCATCTTTCACCTCAGACAGAAGAAGAGACAGCTCCCTCTGCCTTGTCAGAACAACTTGGGAAAAAAACTCTTTTAGGGAATTTTCCTTTCTACAATCAGGGTCCCTTAAGGGATTCTTCCATTGGAGGGGGTAATCCTCTCCATACATGTAATGTTTATCTTTCTCCTTTAAGAACTTATTTAGTGAGTTCATTTGTAATTCGAAATCTATTTGACAGGAGGGCATGATCAATCTGCAATGTGACACACAGTGCAATTCCTTTAAGTAAGTCTTTCATGCTTTTATAAGAAGCAGACTTTTTAAAATGGCTTACAGCAATGGCTTGAATTGTGGCCAAATAGATAAGAGCAAGTTCATCAAGGCCCTGAGACAACGTCAGTCCAACAACCTGCACAGAACACAAGAAGAAAATGTTCAAATCTAGCAGAGGTGAAATTTCAGCATTTTCTGAGACGCACAAGGCATGCTTTCTTGTTGCTACAGGTTTAAATGCAAATTGTAATCCTGTTTTTGTGAGCTGCACACCTACTGTTATGTTAAACATATTATTCCTGATCTGGATAGGAGCCATAGAAACTGAAATTGCCCTTGCAAAGAAACAGTTAACAAAATATCATTTTGTAAGGGATTTACATGTTATGTTTTTTTCCTAGGAGGCTTGCACTATGAAATGAAACACAGTAAAAAAAAAAAAAAAAAATCCCACATACCCTTCATTGAAAGACAATAATTAAGGACTAGATTATGATTTCATTTACTCTGGCATAAATCCAATTTCCTTCCACTGAAGACCGTATAGTTACTCCGTCTGGACTGAAATCGGAACAATTGAGATCCTAACTTTGTTCTGCAATGTGGCAGAAAAGATGCATGATCATTGCTAGTATTTGCATAAGAGACTCAAATCGGGGGCAAGGAGGGAAAAATAAAGACCCTCCTGTAGAAAATATTACAGGCAGTCCCTGAGTTACGCGGATCCGACTTATGTCGGATCCGCAGTTACGAACAGGGTTTGCTGCCCGTCTCCCTGGTCTGCTGGAGACCAGCAGACCAGGGAGACGGGAAGCAAAGCCTCTGAGGACGCCGGCAGCGGGACAGCCGCGGCGCGTCTGGGCTGTCCGCTGCCCGCGTGCGC